ATTTTTACTCTTATATGGAAATAACAAAGAGTAGTTCGGGCTGACTGAAATCAATTGAAAGGAAATTTAGTGAGGAAATCGAGTTTCTATAACCATCTTAACGGAATGTTCTACCCACTAGAAAAGTCTAAAGCTCTTCCCTTTAAGAATGAATAGTAACATATCACAGAATCAAGAATATTCCTTGTTACATCTAACATTCCAAGTGATTTCAAGACAAATTCTACTAAAACTTGACACCCCATAAAGCTACGACAATTATAACTCTAACAAGACGAGCGCAACTAATTTTTCAAAACACTAGACAATTTATCCGGTGAATATTACATGCACTTTGCAATTATTTCCAGGGCAACTTCAACGACGCTTCATTAAAGGAACGAAACACCCACAAACGTAATAAAATTGCATATTCGATCAACAACGGGACTCGTAGTTTTTCAGTGATCCTGCAATACATAACAGATATGTCCGGAAGCATCTTGCGAATCACAACCCCACAACGTCCGAAAAACCAACAAATTGATGATTGCGTTTTGACATTCACTGACTAAAGGTATATACACACAAACGAGATTAGGGATTCCAGTTCATGGGCTTCCTGTAACATCAGAGAGGTTTGCAGGTACTTCAACGGAAAACTGACTGAACATAAACGAGCGATGATGTCGAAAATCAAATAGCTGAACGTCATCAACCTACAAACAACGCTATTGACTGGGACTTTGCCCAGTACTTCATCTACATCTACATCTACACCTACATTCATCTACATCTACATCTTCATAATTAGATGATCTAACTACTTTTAATGACATACTTCGTCTCCGGTTTTCATTAAGGCTCTTCGGGTTTTTCAACAAAGGAAAAATTTTCCTGACTGATAAATAGATACATGTAAATACATAGACGCATGAATAGAAATATGTCGATATAGATTAATAAAGAAAACATAAATCTCTTGAGAAATATTGTTAAGTTTCTCATCTCTGATTGTACCATGATTATTTTTACATCATAATAGTTGATAGGCTAAGCTAGGGTGATGCGAGTTTGCATAGGGCGGTAAAGCAAAATCAAGCAATCCTACATTGCTTACAACACGCAAGTGAAAATTATTTAAAAGACGCATTCCTTGCATGACCGATGCCTTTATCGTTTAGATGTGTTCTTAAATTGCAAAGAGAGCTCTTCGATTGACTTAACCACGAAATCCAGTTTCCTTACGACACTTTTGTTAAACGAGTAAGGACTTATGTACCACACCTCGATTGTTTTGTGAATTGGAGCCAGTCTTCCTGAAGAAATTGAAAGACATAAACAAAGATCTTAAATATTTCAATAGTAAATGCGTGGATAAAAAACATTGGTTTATGGTGTAATTTCGAAATGTCAAAAAAGATAGTTTTTCAAACAAATTTCGATTCTTACGGAATCCAAATGAATCTCACAATGAGATTACCGCTGTTTCCAAGTATCCTTTTCCAAGTTACACTGCCCTGCGTGATTGTAATTTTCACATAATTAAAAAAATGATATATTAAAGATTATCTGCGTAAGGAAAAGATATCTGGGATTTTCCAAGAACTGAGATTCTGACACGCAAGTATGTTTAAATGAAATTAAATCGAACTGTCAAGTAAATCTTTTACACTTTTGAAAGTCTACTTTCAGGACACAATACTAAATTTCTCTGGAGGTTCCCCATATGTGTTGATAGAAGGTTTGTGTGGAATACATTCGAAGAAATGAAGCCAAAGATCACCAAGTCATTCGCAAGCAAAGGTTAAATGCGATCGGATTGCGTTACATCACATCCTTCAACATGCATTAGATGTGTACTTTCCACTTGCGTATTGGCACAAATATTTGGGCTTGAAATTGGTGTTTTATATCGTTTTAATATCACCTCATTTCTGTGGAACCTGTCTTACGCGGCTACCCCCAGCCATTCTTCGTGGGTGACCACCTAATACAGGTTTAACTGTGTAGAAAATGATGTCATAAGGGAGGATTGGTGACTCAACGTCAACAGCCACAAGTAGGAGAAATGTTCATCATTGAGTCGGACTTGTTTCTCGTTTTGCAACTCCCTGGTTGAGAGAGAGGCTCAAGTTTCCTTCATAGACCAATCACAAACCGCATTAAAGCAAAAGCTATACAACCCAAGTTGAAAATCAATGTAAATATGCATACCTTTCATTTCCAAAGCAGTCGTCCTTTCAGACATGTTCATAACATTAACGTTTACTAAATCCAGTTTTCTTTCCATATTTGTGCCCAGGGAGTCGAAGCGTTTGGACAAAGCTTCAATGGCTTTGAACATTGAGTCCTGGTTATCTGTAGATAATCGCGACGAAAAAAAGCTAAAATGGCTGATTACAAACGTAGGTTGTACAAAGAAAAATTGTGAAATTCAACCATCAAACCTTTTAGAAAAGGCTTCCGTTTCACTGCCTTCAGTTTCTTCAAAGACATTAAATGGGCAGTGAAATAAGAGTGCAAATGCACACGCATATACACGACTTAAAGTGCGTACCTTGCATTTCCAAAGCAGTCGTCCTCTGAGATGCGTTCTTAACATATGCATTTACTAAATCCAGTTTTCTTCCCATATTCACGTCCAGTGAGTCAAGGCGTTTGGACAATGCTTCAAAGGCTTGGTACATTGAGTCCATCTTTTCTGGAGACAATCATGACAAATAGAAAAGGATTTTTAACACAAACTATAACCCATTTAAGTTCCAGGGATGAAGGACAAACTGGGTTTCCCGGTGAGGATTTTAGCCCCTCCTATTGCGGCCCAAATGCTCCAGTAGCTGTAATGCAAATATTAAAGCTCTGTAAAGTTTTGTTAATTTATCCAGTTTTCCCAAAGACGAGTTGACACATTTGACCTAAAACTGATTTCTTAAAACAAGGAAGGCTGGTTTACCAACTTAGAGCAGACACATCTATATAGATGACAACAACGACCTCCACACCAGCTATGACCTTTTCACAAATCAAAACCTCATTAAAGAAACACCACTACAAGTTCTCAATATACATACCTTGCATTTCCAAGACCGTTGTCCTTTGAGATGTGTTCGTGACATTCAAATTTACGAGATCCTTTCCGATTTGTTTGTCTTGCCAGTCAAGGCGTTTGGACAAAGCTTCAATGGCTTCGTTTATTGAGTCCAGTTTTTCTAGAGACAGCCATGATAAAGAAAGGTGTTAAAAGAACTGATTGTTTACGAAAGAGGGACAAGGTGCTGGGTAATGATTTGAGCCCTTGAACAAACCAGACGTTTTACTGACTGAAATAAAAGAGCTAAGCCTTACTGAAAAAGCTCAACATTCTCCGCATTTGAAGGCCGGCTCTTTTCTTTACTGAGGCCGCTTTTTCACGACAAAGGAGGGAGGAGGGGGGGTTGGTAGCGGATGTGTTGCATTGACTGATGCATGATAGTTGCGCAAGAACCGCATTAATTGGCGCGGGAATGCCCAAGTGAGTCAAAGAAGAGAAAATGCAGGTCATCGGCAAGACGTTTCAATCGCAAGAAGCTTAAAAATTCCTTTCCATAAGAAGCTGCAAGGGGTAATTAATGCAACTGTGAACTACCAACAGCGATGAGAAGTTGTTTTGCAACATTTTAGTAACTTCCCAACTAATGCGTCACCAACGAGTGGTTGATCAGCGTAACAGATGCTGACCCAAACATTTC